TTCTCTAAGGTCTAAGGCGCGCGCGATTTGCGATTTTCGTGCGCACGTTAAACTTATTGCGTGGCCGCGAAATACTACTTCGTGGCCACAATTAAAACATTTTTTTGACCATGTCATCAGAGGGGCTCCGTAGATTTGTGTGAATCGGCCATGTTATTAAAATGTGATTTCAATAAGTGCTGAGGTTTATTTATTTCAAAGGCTTATTTTCTCACCGCAAAAACAATCAAGAAATAGTAAAAATGTCTTAAATTTAGTGTATTTATCCTTAATTTGAGTAGGTTAATTAGATAATTTGTCAATGGAATGAGTTGTTTTAATCTTGGAATAAAATAATTACATAATATGCTCTTTAAATAAGATGCTGTAATTGTTTTCTTTTTTTTATTGTAAAATGTCTTGTTTCATTGGCAAAGTGTCTCACTTCCTCAATTCAAGAAATAAAATGCAGTTATTTTAAGAAAAAATGACTTATTTAGATGTTATTTTTTGCAGTGCTATTAGAGAACAATAGATGTTCTTTCTGTTGAGGTTTTAAAAACCTATTGGATCCCAGAGAAATGCTCAGTTTGGCACAAACCTTAGAGAAAGAGGCTGAAGGGAAAAAGTAAATCAGATGCAAATGTTTGCTTAATGTGACCAGATCTAAAGATCAAAAACAAACCGTTCCTCAGTCATTTATTTTAATACATGTAATTGATTTATATTTTTGACTGTTTAAGAGTATTGTTGCAGGGCTGTCAGCTCTATGACGCTGCTTTGCTTTCCTTAAATGTAAGAGGCGCCTGTAGAATGGTTATTTTTAACTTTTCATAGGTGGGTCCAAATAAGCTCCATCCAAAAAGGTTCTGGTTGTCTGACCCGTTTAAATTATCCAGCTGCTGTTTTCTTGAAGATGTTCTCTGCTCATTCTGGATGTTATTACAGGAACCTGATCATAGAGGAGAAGAGCCTGGTGCCCTGTGAGGACCTGCTCTACGGCCGCATCTCCTTCAAAGGCTTTAATCCAGAGGTGGAGGTCGGTACCTTCGGATCAGAACCAGCAGCCTCCACAGAATCGCTTTAGGTTTTTATTAATGCTCTGCTCTCTGACAGAAGTCTGAACCTTCTGCTTCCTTCCCAGAAACTGATGGCGACTCTGAATCCTAAAAATGAAGCGGAGGAAGAGGAGGAGGAGGAAGAGAGGCGAATGCAGACAGACGTCACAGATGAAGAAATGGCTCTGAGGTAAAAATGTGGATGATCAGAACCTGCAGCTTCAGAGGGTTTGTTCCCTGAGCCGTCGGCAGACGTAGAGTCAGAGAGGAAGCGCTGATCTCTGCAGCTTCAGTCAGACTCTCTGCTTAAATTTTAAAAGCTCTCTGCTGTGTTTCCAGGAACTCTGCTCCTGATTGGTCCACTTGGACTCACAGCTTCCTGTTTCTGTTTCAGGTACGAGAGTTTGGTGGGAACCCTGAAGAAGAAGTTTGCAAAAAAGCGCGAGCGAGCGGCGCTGGACGGGGACGACGTCAACCAGAACGTGGCTGAGAAAACCTCAAAGAAAGCTTTCCTCAAACCTCAGGACTGACCAGATCCTGGCTGTTAGGACTCAGCGGCGCCACGCGGTTAGTTTTAATCTACCTTCGCCTGCTGGACGTCTGCCGTTGGTGATCTGACCTGGTGTATGGTGAAACTCTGAGAGGCTGCGGCGTGTTTGGATGTTCAGACGGAGCGACTCGCTGGGATTTTCAGCTGCTGGAACCTCATGAAGCTCTGATGTCATCAAAGCTGCAGTGAATCTCCAGGGGAACCAAACCAGAATCGGGTCGGATTCTGGAGACTTCCTGATGTTTTACAGTGAAGCTGCTTCAGAACCAGACTCTTTGGACTGAGCTGATTTCAGTACTCTTTAGTACTTCTTTTTTTTTTTTTTAAAGAAATTGCTTAAAATCTGTTGGTTTTTTTTTATTTTTTGTTATATATCTCTGCTGCTGCAACGCTTCTGGTTTTCTATGTAGATGTTTGAAAAATGGAATGTTAACGAAGCAAAGTGTCATTTTAAATAAACCTCGATGACCTGTGTCAGGAAGTTCTATTGAACTGTGGGATTCAAAGATGTTCAGGTTGCTGAGAGCAAAGCCCTGAAGATTTTTACAAACAGGTAAAGGTATAATGCAGGATTTTCGTGAAGACCCGCCCTCTCCACTTCTAAAAACGATGCACATTCCTGTAGCCGCTCCCGAGAGGGAACGCCTATTAAATGCGTGCAGGAGCTCATTTCTCCTGTTGAAAAGTTTCTTTTTGCATCACTCATACAAGTTTACTTTGCAAAAGATTTGCAATTTTTCCACTATGTCAGACTCACCACCGCTAAG